AGGGCATATCGCCTTTTGGGAGACGAAGATGCTGTTTGTGTCATGTTGCGAAGATTCGGGACGCGGACGGAACGAGTAGACAAAGATATAGAGGCACTTCTTCTCTTCGAGCCAAATTCTTTGACATATATACAGCCGAGGTCATGTTTTTCCATCTCTTCCATGATTGGTGGCATTTAATAAGGTCGTATGCATATTCGAGGAGGGGGAAGGCAGTACATCAGCCGGATGATTTCAAATTGCCGGATGATGCGGGGGCGGGGCAAGCGGGTAAATTCCTGGGCAGGGGAGAAGCAGTCGACGGTTCTCACCTGCTTCACCCAGCAATAATGACAAATGACCATCTTTTGTAATCGGCTCGAACTTGCATGGACGTTATGTAGGAGAACCATCTCCCGCGCACATTATTCGCGGATTCTTTGGCTTCAGAAGCGGGGTTATACTATACAGACATATGCAGATCGCACGGCTAGAGGGTCGATGGCCAATATAAAGGCAAAGCCAAGAGTTCCTGGGCTCCGACCAAAGAACCAACAAAGCAGACCTCGCAGCAGAAGTCGTCAGTCGTCCATTAATTCAGTCATTCTCCGGCTCCAGTCAAAATGATGACCTCGAGGACGCTAGCCCTCTTGGCCAGTGTGGCCCCGGCTCTGGCAACCAAACCGGCCGCATTTTACTTGGCAGGTGACTCGACCACCGCGGCGCAGTCCTCTGAGGGTGGTGGGTGGGGGGTGGGATTCCTGGCCACGCTCACCGATGGTGCCATTGGCACTGACCTGGGGTATAACGGGGACACCACCGCGAGCTTTGTGGCGGGGGGCGCCTGGGCGAATGTCATCGATGCCGTCACCCGCAGTAAGGTCTCCTATCAGCCCTACGTGACCATTCAGGTAAGCAGGAGCCCATTCCCAACAATCAAATAAATAGCGATCATGGCCTCCTCTGACGGACATCTATCTCGTATAATCTAGTTCGGCCACAACGATCAGAAGAACACCTCGGGGGTCACCCTCGAAGACTATGCCACGAACCTGCAGACCATGGCGGAGGCGGTAGTCACCGCTGGAGGAATCCCGGTACGTGAAGACATCCACATCATACCGTCACCCCTCAGACATTGGCATTATGACAAGGACCAACTAACCCACATTCTGCCCAGATCCTGGTGACTCCCATCTCCCGCCGCACCTTCAACTCCACCACGGGAACGGTGATTGAGGACCTGGCCACCCAGCGCAACATCACCATCACCGTCGCGGAGTCCATCGCCGTCGACTATATCGACCTGAATGAGGCCAGCACCGTGTACCTGGACGCGATCGGGGCCACGGACGCGGCCAGCTACAACCGGATCTCCACCGACTATACCCACCTGAACCCGGTTGGCAGCGTCGTCTTCGGCAACATGGTGAGCTGGCTGCTGCTGACCACCACCTCGCTGGCCGGCAATCTGGCCGACTATACCGTGCCCAACGCAGAGATCGTGGCCGCTATTGCCAATGGCACCTACATCTATCCAGACGTGTAGGGAATAGCGAATGCGAGCATCGGGAAAGTGGAGGTCAGGTCGATCGGGAACGTTCGACTTCGGTCTGCGCAGATGGTGAGAAGGGCTGGTGGCTGGAGCTACTCCGTACCACCCTTTTCTTTATGCGTTCTTTGTGCTGGAGGTGCTCGTAGGATAACTGAGAGCGTAATGGTAAATGGCCGATGTTTGATTTGTGTGAGCAAGAGCCCGTTGTATAAGAGCAGTTTTACAGTCTCTACGTGAGTAGACAAAAAATGTCCAGTCCAAGCATGAGATCTGAGGCTGTGGAGAAGACACGTTTGATACATCCAACTTTGCATCGCAAATTAGACGCAGGACAAGAAATATGAACAAAGGCACAACAGTCACCGACCATAACAGTCGCATCCTACATTGACTCTCGGAAAGAATTGGTGTGCATGACGCCCGGGAAATTCTAAAGATTCTAGCTGTTAGGGTTGCGAATGGCGGGTGCACGAAACGGAAGCGGGGGGCTGACCAGGGTATCGAACTCCATCCAGCTTGCCGACTCGGCGGCAGCACCGCTGCTGAGCTCCCCAGCGTCAAAGGCCTCAAGGCACGGAACTGAGATCCCCAGTAGCATGGCGTAGTCGGCAATGGTCATTTCGACCGGGTCGGGCGCAACGGGGACCCTCTGCTGGGCGTTATTGTTGGCGTAACGCTCGATCAAGCGCAACCCTTCCTGACGGAGCTCCTCCAGCACCGCCACGTACTGGGCCACCAAGGGGCTGTCGTGCACAAACCGCGTCAGCTGTTCGCAGCATCGTGTCGCCGCGTTAAGGTGCTGATAGTAGATCTCGACCGGGGCAGCCGCCTGCTGGATCGTGTGGACGAATAGCACCGTCGCGGCCGTGAAGGCATAGTAGCAGGTTGCCTAGATAAGACTGATCAGCTTCCGGCCGTACATGAGATAATCTCTCCATTGCGAAGGAAGGACCAACCTACCCAGAACGATCGATACATTGACCTGGTCTGAAACATGTGATAGATACGGTCGGCGATGCACAGCGCCGCCTGCAAGCACTTGCTGATCTCATCGTTCACCACCACGCCACCGCCACCGCCGTCCCGCCCGGTCGCGAAATTCGTCAGCAGCAGCGGTCGGTTGGTGAGAATGACGGCGTGCCAGTAGGTCAGGTTCAGGACGTCTCGCTGTCGTTGCAGGATGGGCAGTTGCGGCGCCGTGCTCCCGCTGTGCAACTGCAGAAAGCCCGGCAAGCTGTGGCGCCACTGCGACAGCCGATCCGAAAACTCTTTGGCCAGGCGGCATTGGTCGGCCAAGGAGATGGGGCGGATTGCATAGAGGTGGCGCAGGATTAGTCCGAGGACCCGATGAAGTCTGCTCAGAATCATCAGCTTAGCTCAAAGATGCAACAGCGCCTTGAGTTTCACTACCCGGAGGCCACGGGGGGCGATGGGTGGTATATCCTACCGGTAGTATAGGACTGGCGCCATCATCACCGAGTAGCCCGTGGGCACCGTGAATTGGAGGTCGACGGGCTCGTCAACGAGACTGTGGTCCGCGGGCAGCTCCTGATCGATGTCTTCGTCGTGGAAGATGCGCGGTCGGCCCAGCGTCAGGCAGAGGTGAATATCCAGGCAGTAGGCAGTCCAGAAGGTGCGACGGCGGCAGTCAAGATTGATGCGACTCGCCGGACTATCCGCGGGGGGGTTGATGATGCGCTTCCGGTGCAGCCCTAACGCCAGCGCCAGGCGGGCAGTCGTGCCGAATAGACTCCAGCAATGGTTGACTCGGGACCGGGCCAGCAGCCAGAAGCATTGGTAGAGACGCGCCTGCACGCTGGCCAGGCAGACGGTCGCCCGTTCCCTGGCGAGCTGATAGTCGGCGGCGAGGAAGTACCGAATACTAATTTTCGGTCTCTGTCAGTCTAGAACAACCATGAGCTCGCAACAAGAATGGTGCGTATGTGGATACGAACCTTCTGTCCTCACCGTTCGGGAGCGGATCTTGGTTGAGATGCTCCTGTGCCATCGCAAAGATCATCCAGAGGACGGCGCGCCGGGCGGGGGCATCCACGGCATGTCGCATGGAGCCCATCGTCTCGTGGAACTCGCGGAGCCACTCCTCGACCATCGGCTGGTGCACGATCCGATCGATCGGCACGGTGAAGTCGAAGAACCGCCGGAACAGGATGGTGCTCTCCTTGACAGAGAGCATGACGGAGGGCGTGGCGTCGTCGTACTCCGGCAGCGGCGCATCGCCAAAGGTGAAGGCGGATTGCGAGCCCTCGCTGGACCGGAGGCGCTCCCGGACACAGGCCAGGAAGGAGACCCCCGAGGCCGGACCAACATAGTGGCCCTCGAGATCATTGATACCTTCCAGTGATGCGTGAGAGGCGGGCTCCCTCGCTGCGTTTACCCGAGTGTTCGCCCCGGCCAGGTCGAAGAGGCCCGGCGACGACGGTAGGTCAGTCTGGCGATCTCTGACTTCCGAGCCGGGGTGGGTCTCGACTGCTTCATCGATTGTATGCTGGTCATTGCTCAAGGAGATGGGTGTCGTCGCCATCTCCGCTCGGGGTTTCCGTCCCCGTTTGTGCGGAGCAGCAAAGATGCAGCTCGTGTGGTCTCGGATGCAGTGCGGGCATGGCTTGGTGCCGGTACATCGGATCTTCCTCCTACAGTGCCGTGCATTTGATCAGACATGCAGTTGGATCAAATCAGAGACAGAGAATGCACGAATATCCGAGCATACTTACTTCTTGCAGTGGTCGCAAGCACGCGAAGCTCGCAGTCGCCGAGACAGCGCGCCACTCGTTCTCACCGGCGTGGGACCAGAAGCAGAGCCAGGGCTGTCTCCATCCAGAATCGACGGATTAATCCGTCCAGAATCCATCATTTCGGTGCCAATTTGTCGCATATTCGGCTTCAATCAGAATCTGGGGTGTGGTACAAGACAGAAAAACGGCAAATACTGTACAGCGAGGAAGGTAGAGCTGGCAGGGAGAATGTCTGATTATCCGAATACTCTCGGATGGAATGCCGCCGGATATTTGGAATGGAGTAATAATCTATTAATTGACGGGAAACGGATAATTGGCGGGCACGGGTCGGCTATTTTGATTTATCCAATCTACATACGCATGCCAATGGGTCTTTAGGCTCGTTTAGACTTTTAGTCATTGATTAGCCTCGGAAGTGAGTCTCCATCATCGGGGATAACTGCCATCCAGGCCCTATAGCATAGCGGGGCGAACCGCCAAAGAAACCCGGGGAAAATGTGAGGAAAATGTGTAGGACCCCGGGTATTTCCCCGTGCTGGTGTGAATTTATTCTGTAGATATCACACGGGGGAAGGGAATCACAATAGGACTATTACACTATGGCATTTCCGACTATAAAGCCGGGCTTCATGCAGCAGCCCTTCACCTCGGTCTAGCATGTTGAACAAGCATCGCTTTGTTCAATCCTTCGTCGCTCATTCTCTATCACTATGGCATATTTGCCTGCAGCCGCCATCTTCCTGACGGCCTTATTTTCCGGGTCTGCCTACGCCGCGACGGCCTACATCGACCCGGACCTCACTCCGTCTTTCCCCAACGTGGATCCGATTTCCTATGTTGATACCAGCCGGACGGAGTATGATCGAATTGTGCTCAATGTCGACGGCAAGCCATTCTTTTACAATGGGGTGCAGCTGCGCGTCGATAAGATGAAGAACCACTGGAACATGACGGATGCGCAGATCAGCCCTTTCTTTCAGCGTGTCGCCAACGACGGATTCACCGTGGTGAACTCGCAGATCACCTGGTGGGACATCCAGCCAGACACCTACTACAACGCCACCGAGTCAACTTACATCCGGGGCGGCAGCTACACGGCCACCAATTACGCTGACGAGGCCTCGCACGAGATCGGCTACAACGCCAGCGACGCGTCGCAGCAGGAGCTGACCTACCTCAAGTTCGATTTCACGGCGTATACGCTGGACCAGATCGATGCGGCCAAGGTACGTGTTTACGTCAATGCCGCTCCCGACGGCGATGTGGCCTTCTCGGCCAACCTCTACGGCATCACCAACAACACTTGGTCTGCCGACACCCTAACCTGGAGCAACGCTCCCAACCATGATGGCATTCAGATCCAGGGGACGAACGGCACCGACTACTGGTGGACTGCCAGCAACCCCTCGTGGGACCCGATCAACGAAGCCTCGTACTATGATTTCGACGCCTCTGATTTCATCGTCAATCACTGCCCCGACGGCATCGCCAGCTTCATCCTACAGCCGCAAGTGAACGACACCGCCGTGCCCAACGGAGCCACCCTCGACGGCGTGCGTGGGACGTACCCACCGGAGCTCTGGCTCTCGAGCAGCGATAGCTGGAACTTCGACCACGTCGACAACGTGCTTGACTGGGCGGGCGCCGCGGGTCTCAAGATGGAGATCCTTTGGTTCGGCTCCGACACGACCAGCGCCACGGTGGACTTCCGTGTCCCGTACTTCGTCTACCGACACGTACTTGTCCAGAAGGTGCAGTCGGACGGCACGGTGGTGCCGGCGATGCTCAAGAAGCAGGGTTACGACCAGGGAGTGTACTGGTACCTGACCGACAAGAACGACCTCGCGCTGCGGGCGCTGGAGAAAACGGCGCTCAAGACGCTCCTCAACCACGTGGCCGAGTACAACGCGGCCAACGGGGACCTGAAGACGCTGGTGGGAGTGGACGTGGCTAACGAGAATTCAGTGACGCACATTCATGGCGTGGGGGACACCGTCTACCACAACCCGCTCACCTGGGGCGCCTACGGCAACTTCTCCTCGCAGGCCGCCTTCGTCGCACGCACCGAGTGGGAGTACTCGGTCAACCTGGCCAACGGGGTCAAGGAGTCGAATTATCCCGTGTGGACGCGGCTGAACACCTTCACCACCGCCGAGGAGAAGTCGATCGACTACAACGAGGCCCAGCGGTTGACGACGGGCACCAGCCTCGACTTCGTCGGCCTCGACCCCTACTCGACCTCGACGTCGGTGCTGTACGCCTACGGCCATGAGACCGTTGCCATCGGCGGCTCAGACGAGAATTGGGCCAGCGGGTCCAATCTGCCCATGGTCATGGAGAACTCGGGTGCCACCTCCTCCGCCGAGTCCCTGCTGATGGCCTCGCTGGCGGGCGGCGCCTTCTACAACGTCTACGAGTACATGGGCCCGGACAACTACGGCCTATACTACCCCAAGAGCACCACCACGCGGGACTTCACTCCGGTCGCGCGCAGCTCCTACGTCGCCGATGTGATCGCGACCAACAAGCTACTCAAGGCGCTCGCGCTGGACCTCTCGACCAAGCTGCCCGCCGGCGCCGGCGGCACCCGCCTCGTCTACTTCAACCCCTTCAGCAACAGCACCCTAGACCAGCGCAGCATCGGGGACTTTACCGTCAGCTACAGCCCCGCCTCCACTGGCGGCGTGGGCATTGGCATCCTCCGCAGCGACCAGACCCTGCTCCTGGCCAGTACGCGCAACTCCACCTTCACCGTCGCCGGCCTGTCCACCTACGGCATCAGCGCCGTTGAATATGGCTACTACACCTCGGCCGGAGACTTCGTCGCCAATGGCACTGTCACCTACAACTCCACCTCGACCGGTCTCACCGTCCCGGTTCATCAGGATCAGCTGGTTCACATTGAGACGAAGACGGCCTTCACCTTGCCCTAGGTGGGTCGTACCGTGGTGGTGGGTAGGTAGCATGGGCACCCATTGCTCTTGGGAAGTAGTGGAACACACCCAGTGTAAATAGCTTTATACCCTCCCTACAGTGCCTTAATCCACGAATGACAACTCCTGTGGGCTGTGGACATAGCTTTTAGGTTTAAAAAATACCTCTGGTATAAACTGTGATCGGTGCTGGTAAGAGTGCCGGGACCTTCCGAACCAGCCATGCCCTTCAGCCTTCACCCACCCCGTCCACTTCAGCTCTCAAAAGCGAGAGCTGCGTCTTGATGACGTCGCCACATTCCCACCACATATCTCCCTCCCTTTCAGATGCGACTCTAGACCTGGCCAAAGAAACCAAAAAAAAAAGCAAATTAAGTTTCCCGAACACGATCACATCCGTCGTCCGCGACCACAGATAAGCATTCTTCATCCCTTCTGCGGGTTACCCCGCACCGCGAAGATGTCAGATAAATGCGTACTACCTGTCGAACAATGTCTGTCCGCTCTATCGTTCGCTCCACCCTGCAACGGCAGCGCCTACTCACCAGAAAAATGGCCACCGTCGCAGCACCCACGCACTACGACGCCATCATCATCGGCTCCGGCCAGGGCGGCACGCCCCTCGCCAAGGCCTTAGCCGAGGCCCAGCACAAAACCGCCCTGATCGAGCGCGCCCACGTCGGCGGCTGCTGCGTCAACGAGGGGTGCACACCCACGAAGACCATGATCGCGTCCGGCAGGGTCGCGGAGCTGACGCGCCGGAGTCCGGGGTACGGGGTGCATCTGCCGGGGCTGTCGCGGAGCGACACAGACGAAAGGGACCAGGACCGGAGCCAGAACCGGATTGTGATTGAGATGGAGAGGGTCCGGCAGCGGAAGCGGGAGATCGTGGAGTCGTTCCGCAGCGGAGGGGAACGTCGATTGAAGGCGGCTGGGGTCGATGTGTTGATGGGGGAGGCGAGCTTCGTGGATGGGAGGACGCTGGCGGTGGCGATGCGGGATGGCAGCAGCAAAATGGTTACCGGCGGGACGATTGTGATTAATACCGGGTGTCGGCCGTCGGTTCCGCAGATTGAGAATCTTGCTGCGATTCCGGGGGACCGGGTCTTGGATTCGACCTCGGTCATGGAGTTGGATCGCGTCCCCGAGCATTTGGTGGTGGTTGGTGGCGGGTATATTGGGGTCGAGTTCGGGCAGTTGTTTCGGAGACTCGGGGCTAGGGTTACCATCCTCCATCGCGGGACGCAGCTGTTGCCGCGCGAGGATCCGGAGCTGGCGAGGATGCTGCTCGATGTCTTCCGGGAAGATGGCATGGACGTTCTGCTGGAGACGACGCCCATTCGTCTTCAGCCGGTCACTGACGAGGGCTTTGATGTTTCGATCAGGTCCAAGCAAGGTGACCGAGTCTTAAGCGGCGTCACGCATATCCTCTTCGCGGCTGGGCGCATACCGAACACTGAACAGCTAAATCTAGATGCAGCAGGTGTTAAGATCGACAAGAAGGGCTATATCGCCACCAACGAATTTCTGGAGACATCTGTGCCTTCCATCTATGCGCTGGGTGATGTCAAAGGCCCTCCTGCGTTCACGCATGTCTCTTACGACGACTTCCGCATCCTCAAGTCAAGTCTCTTAGCAACCCACCCGCCAGCGGCGAAACAGTCGACGAGAGGGCGGCTGGTACCCTATGTGGCGTTCACTGATCCTCAGTTCGCGCATGTGGGATTGCACGAGCATGAGGCACGAGAAAAATACCCCGGCAAAAGGATCCTCACTGCGCTGATGCCGATGAGCTATGTAGCACGGGCCTTGGAGATTGACGAGGTCAGAGGAGCCATGAAGGCGGTCGTTGATGGAGAAAGCAAGCTCATCCTGGGATTCTCATGCTTGGGGGTCGAGGGTGGGGAGCTGATGAGTGTCGTGCAAATGTCCATGGCGGGGCACTTGTCGTATGAGAAGTTGCAAGATGGTATCTTTGCACATCCCACTCTTGCAGAATCCTTGAATAATCTTTGGGCGTTCTTGAAGTGAGTCCTTGCGGGTGGAAGTGGATTATTGTGTCATTCATTGGCCGTTTGCCTCGATATATATATACGGGTCAAGCACTGGTTCCATGTTTTGGGTGCATGGCGGAACTGTTGACTACCATGGGACTTCACGGCACGAAAAAGGCTAACCACAGACTGAATAGGCAGATGGTCGTTGAACTATTGTGTTATACTAGTTCTATAACCTAGATGTTGAACGATTTACGCGGTGGGCAGAGTAAAAAGCGGCAAAAAAATGACCAGACTGGGGCTCGATCCCAGGACCTTATCGGTGTTAACGATACGTGATAACCAACTACACCATCCGGCCAGTTACATTTAAAAAGGCACAGAAATTGCACTTGAGTACAAACGAGCATGTAAAAATCCAGATGAAGCCGGAGAACACGGCGAATCATACTATGGGGGAGGCTAACCTATATCCTGATCTTCGAAACGTAGCCAACATCGTTGATGTGAGGCTCATGGGGGTGTCGGAAGCTTCCGCGTACGCACGGACAGGGCCTAAGCCCCGCCTAGGCGCTACGCGACTGGGCCATGTTGTTGTGGACATCCCTTGCTACGCACGGTTCATCTCTCTTATACGTAGCACAGGAGTTTCCGCTCACCCTCTTCCCACTTGTTACCCTATCTTCTCACTATGAGTATTCAGAAGAAGTTTCCGGATGTGCACTGGGTCTGGAAAGGAGCGATATCCTTCGTCTATGAGGTCCATCCTCGCATCGTGGTGAAGGTCCCGAAATCCAGCGACTTCGAGCGAGAGCAATTCCTGAAAGAACTCAGGATCTATGAGATCTTTTCTCAGCATCCACCATGCTCTTCCATAGTGCAGTGTTTCTTCTACGCGGACAACGGCATTTTCCTCGAGTACATGCGAGGTGTGATGACTCTTATCGGTGCTTTGACAATCGTCTCCACCGACCGCCTCCATAGATGTTACCCTCTGTTCTAGGATTCAAAACAATCATACTCGGGACCTGGAATCTTCCGTGGTCACCAAAGTAGAGAAATTGGAGCCTCTGCCCCTACGAAAGAAATGGATGAACGACCTCGCTCAGGCTGTTGCGTTTCTAGAATCGCTCAATCTCGCGCATGGTGATCTACGACCCGAAAATGTTTTACTTGATCGCGACCGATTAAAGCTTGCAGATTTCGATTGTACAGCAGAGATTGGGACGGACTTTGAGGCTTGCATGGCCCCATATGGAAGACTACTCAACAGCGACGAGCAGGACCAAGGACGACGTGGAACTTCCGGTGTCCTAGGCCCTCGGACCGAACAATTCGCCCTGGGTTCTTTGTACTACCTCATAAACTACGGTTTTGAGGTTTATGGTGACCGATGTCTTACCGAGGATCCCAAGGAGCATGGACGCAAAGTTGTGGAGTTGCTGCAGAATCTGGAATTTCCGAAGTTGGATGGTGATCCGTTGCTGGACAAGATCATCGGCAAATGTTGGCATAACAAGTATGCTACGATTGGGGAATTGGCCGCATCCACAGAGACGCTCTTGCTTGGAAGAAACAACTGCAGAGAGACCGAGGCCAAAAACCCATGCACACCGCGATGGCGTGTGGTTATGGGGCGCATTATTCGTGGGCTTTGGAAACCTTTCCGATCTTGGTGCGATTTTGTGCTCGGTCGCACCAGCCAAACAACCAAGCCTGAAGTGGCTAGTGGTGGAGAACTGGACGGCCATAGCCGTGGTGGCATGGGTCAAAAGACTCAAAACAACTTGGCGGATGTCTCTTCCAAAAAGACCTTCTGCCAGAACCTGGAGAAATGCGGACTTCTTCAGATGCTTGCATCAGGAGAGCCAGAGCAACTTGGATTTACTATCGAGTGGTCTAGACATTCCACAGGTTGAAAAGAAAGCCGAGGCTCTGCAGATTGCGAGCGAAAAGAAATGCAAAGTGGTCTCGGAAAACCGACAAGGGAGAAAAGCATATCACCATGGGCATGAATTTTAGTTAACTAGTACCAGGTAGGGTAAACTGTAGTGGATATTTGGAAGCAGTGAAGCTAAGTAGCGGCTAAGTTAAATAATCACCGTACCTACTGAGTACCTCTTGTTTTGTTTGCGGTGTTTGGATCGGAATATGACTCCGGCTATGGCATACAGACGGAAATGTAGCAGTAACGCGTATGATAGCCACAAAGTAGGTCGGTGCCTTTCCCTGACGCGGGATCAGTGAAACGCACATTCTCTCACGATGTGCCAATTCTGGACTCAGACGTTCCGAGCGACGGACTAAAAGAGCTCGAACCCGACGGCATAGTTCGATTCTTCGTGTATTCATTGATACCGAATGTGGAAAACAGAGCATGAATGTGCCGAGGATGGTTGAACACGAGAACACGAGATGGAATGCAGGCGAGGGAAAACATCATTTAGGCCCACAGACTCTTGTTATGAGTGCTGCGTATCTTTTCGTACTCAGGCAGAGCCCATTTTACCATCCACTCCGACTCCAGAACCCGTCGAGCAGAAGGACGATCCTCCGGCCGAAAAGAAGCATCGAGCGCAACATCGAGTATAGCGAATCTCGTTCGCTCGAGTCAACGGGTGACATTCCCTCTTTTATCCGTGGTCGCTGCACGTTCGATTCAAAGCGATCCTCCAGTGTCCGACGTGGGGAACGGGATGGGTTGATCGGCTCTCCATGCTCGGTGAAGTGGCCTTGACGAGCTCCCCACTTTCCCCACCATTCAGTCGGCAACAGGCCAAGTGCATCAATCTGCTGGCAAGTCATATCGTCTTCGTTGGTAAGAAAGCCTTCGAAAAGGGGTTTTTGGGCAATGATGTCCCAGATGGTGCAGGCAAGAGTCCAGATATCGGATGAAAAAGTGAGGGGTTTAGTGGGCTCAAATCGAGCCTCCGGAGGGCGGATCGAAAGAGGTGTATGAGACTCGGATTTCACTTCTCGCGCCGGAGAGAATGACTCACCAAAGTCTGAAACGATAATCCTGGCTTCAGGAAGTGTGATATTCTCACTTGCTTCCCCAAGCCAGATAGGTAACACGCCGTATTGTGGGACGCCTGGTGGGAGCATTTGGCCGTCTAGACGATTGACTGGTTCAAGTACCGGCTCCCCATACTGCTCGTATAGCCGTTTTGTGGAAAGCTGATCAAAGTCACGACGCAGTTGAAGTAGGATGCTTCCGCGATGAAGATCTCCATGGACGAAGCCCCGTGAATGAATATAATGGATAGCAATCGCAAGCTGCGCCGCTAAGACTCGGGCCACTTCAAGCTGGAAAAGGCTGATCCAAGATCCGTTCTTTGCATCAGAAAGACTCATCCTGGCCGGCTTAGTCACCAAACAGATGTGTTCGCCATTTGGGCCTTGAATGTTGAATTTATCAAAGATTGAGGGGATCATAGTTCTGCCTATGTCTGATAGCAAGGGAGGTTGCGAGAGTTCCGATATGACGTCAATTTCGGGCGGTTTCGAATATGCCGTACAGACTTTCACTGCAACGTATATGCGAGATCGCTCATCTCGGGCCAGCCAAATCGTCGAGTATGTCCCATGCCCAAGCTTATGGATGACTCGATAGCGACCGTGGAGATGATCCCCGATTGTTACTGGGTGATAGCCACCGGGCTGATAGTATTCCATTCTTTCCACATCTTCAATAGGCTCGTACAGAACACGAGTTGGGTTCATTGTTGGTACCGTCAGTTTGAAGGTAGCGAGAGAAAATGCACGAGAGCTTCGACCGTGAAGATATAGTGGGTTTGCGTTCTTTGAGAAGAGACCACGACGAGGAAGAAATCCGGGCGAGAGCAAGGGCCTAGGGAGCAAGATACATGGTTTGTTCATGTTCTTATCTTTCACTTTTTCTTCTTTTTTCACTTTTTTTCTCTTTTTTATATCTTGTCTTTCTTATGCAAGCAAGGCCTTGTTAATTTGGAGTGAATGGCCAATTATGTTAGCCTTATCTAACACGTAGAGGAACGCTCCCTAGGTACTACCAACAATCCTTTGACAGCTCATCAGTCGAATGTTCACGGTCCGTAGCCATGAGCTCGGTGATCTAGATCAATGGCAATAATGTCTTGCAGGAAGAGATCAAGCGGCAATCGCCCTCGGGGAACTTTATGGCAACCCGCACAGGGACAGCAGGTCGCCAATCGACGCTAAACCAAATTCAGGCTGTGACCCGTGATCAGAAGACTCAGTGTTATTAGACCACCTAAGTAACTTACTGTATGAGTTAGCTGCTACAGGTCTGCGTAAAATGGTGCCCGCTCACTCACCCGACTGTGCAACTTGGGCCGTCAAATTAAGGCTTGCGGTCCAGCTTCTTACCCACCGCCACACCTTTGCCTCCCTGGCCTCCCAAGAGAGCTAGACAACTGGTAGTGAGACTAGTGAAAAATTGAGTTAGTTAGTCGGTCACGGGACCGGCGCCCATGTGCTGACGCAGCGACGCAGCGCCTTGAGAGGCTAAGATCGGCAACAAATGGCCCTCTCACCCCGCATTTGCTGCCAAACCCCAGCCCGTCTGTAAACTTCCCAGTTTTGCTGTTTGTGTTGAGGAAAGAGAATCGGATGGAATTTGAGAGAATCCTGAGGTCTTCGAAACTCTACTCGAGAAAAGTTTAGGGCTAAAGAAGTGTACAGTACACCATAAAAAAAGCTTGGGGGCATATCCAACGGTCATGTCACGATCGCGTTCACCACCGCACCATGCGGACTGGCGACGACTCGGACGCGCCGATGGTCAAGTCAAGTTATAGTCTACTGCACCTGTGACCTGAGCGGCGAGAAGTCTCGGGGAGCGATTCGGGCACGATTGAAATCCAGGCCGTCCGTCAACAATCATATTTGCCATCGTAGACCGGGATTGTGCTCATCCGCTCCCGGATTGAGGCAATAACCAGGATAACTTAGCAGCAACCCGGCAAAGCGCAGCGAAAGGGCAGCCAAAGTCAAGAGGCTAGTGACGAATCCCGGTTATGATTCGCTGCCGAAAATCCCCCCAGGATTCTAGTTGGTGACCCCGGATGTAACTTATACATGTCACCTTCCAATTATTAGTCAGTGGGGTCACGGCAAGACCGAAACGGCGAAAACCGCCGCCAGACCGGAGGGACGGAGGGACAGCGAGCAAGAAAAGCTTCCCGGACACGGCACAATCCTCAACGAAAAACCTATCGGCTTTTTGAGGCTAAGGGGAGGAAATTGGGAAATTGGGTCAGGACAGCCTTTCTCATGTCAGCCACATACATCATTACACCTGATTGTAGGTCGTTTGTCTATTGAGGTGGGATTACGCTATCCATCTCCGGCTTTGTAATAGAAAGCCAGAAACCTTGTCTTTTGAGCCGCCAATCAGGCGCGGTGGTTCTACCCTGGAAACCTTGGGAGGCTTTGTGGTACTATCGTGGTCGACCACGTTCCAGCGACCACCAGAGATCTGGGGATCCGGGGTATGTCCGATTTCTGGAGTATCTGGTCTGTGTGTGCGTGTGTGGAATGTGGAGGTTGCGGAGAAGAGCAGAGAAGCAGGAGCCCAGGCGCTTTGAGCGCCGGAAGTGGGGTTTGCGGCAAAAGCCACCAGCCGCCCAATCCTGCAGCCAGCCAAGCCCTAACTGGGTGTCAGATGGGCATACGCTCGTATGATCGGTCTCGTTGCTAGTGCTGACAATGCTACGAGACCGTGTCCCCATGCCCTTTGTATGTACATACAGTACGGAGTACTGTAATTACCCCACGGGGAGGTAGGGTGAATGAATTTGCCTATATGCGGTGAATGAGCCACTCTTTTTTTTACCCCCCCTTTAGTTTCTTCTTAAATCCCCATGAGGTTTTCGTCAGAAGAGATCTTCCCCAGACCAACTTTCCTCTCATCCGCCTCAGACTGATCCATCCACCATGAACGAAAAGACGTCTGCGGACGTGATCTCTCACAATGAGAATGTGGTTCCGATCACCAAGCCCGAGCTGCCTCACGCGGCTCGCGGGCCAGCCCTCAATCTGATCGAGAACCCCCTGACGGTGAGCATCGCACGTGCTGAACTTGTGACTTCGGAGACACTGACTGTTCATCTCGCTGGAAGCGCAAATCTCCAGAGCAGGTTGTTCTCGACGCTCGCGCGTTCGCCGACGCCCACGACATGTCCGAGCACGCCGATCTCCTTGGTCGTGCTGCCCTGGTCGCGCGGGACCCTCAGCGGTTCGAGTCGATCCCGGAACTCGACGACCAGGAACGCGCTGCGCTCGTCTACGAGAGAGATCACAAATGGCATGGCCCGTTCATGCTCTGGTATTCGATTGCTCTGTGTGCGATTGGCGCTGCGACACAAGGATGGGATCAGACCGGGTCCAACGGGGCGAACCTCTCTTTCCCCCAGGAGTTTGGCATCGCTGGGGATGGCAAAGATGAATGGATCGTGGGACTGGTCAACGCCATCATTTTCTTGACGGCTGGGATGATGTGAGTGTCGAGAGTCCCCAACATTGCTTTTTTTCGCTGCTTCGCAGGACTGATTTGTGATCTTTGTGATCTTTACAGTGGCGCCTTCATTGTCGATCCGCTCAACCACTACCTGGGCCGAAGAGGCGAGATATTTGTCACTGCGTGCTGTCTGACCGCCACCCCCATCGGATCTGCATTCGCCAGATCGTGGCAAGGATTGTTCGCTGCTCGATTCGTGATGGGCATTGGGATTGGGGCGAAGAACGCGACCGTGCCAATTTACTCGGCGGAGATGGCGCCTGCGCGCATTCGAGGTGCTCTGGTCATGTTCTGGCAGTTGTGGGTTGTCGCAGGTGCGCCACTCTCTCCTCATCCACCGGGTCTGGTTACCACTCGTATACAATACTGACCTCGTCGATCAAGGTATCTTCTTGGGCTTCGCCGCCAATGTCATTGTCAAAGACACCGGTCGCATCGCATGGCGCCTGCAACTCGGATCCGCATTCATTCCCTCCTTCATCCTGGGGCTGGGGATCTTCTTCTGCCCGGAATCCCCTCGCTGGCTGATGAAGCACGGTCGGTATGCCCAAGGGTTCAAGTCGATGCTGCGTCTGCGCGCCCACCCCATCATCGCGGCCCGGGACTACTACTACTCGTATGTGATCTACGAGGAGGAGCTCCGGGAAGCGCGGGGCGCGGGCTACTTTTCTCGCATGTGGGATTGCTTTGCCGTGCCTCGCATCCGCCGGGCCAACTACGGCGCCTCCACCGTCATGATCGCCCAGCAGATGTGCGGCATCAACAGTAAGTTGGTCCGAGACTTGCTCAATACCAGGTAGACTGATGTCTGACACTCCGTAGTCATCTCGTTCTACAGCTCGACCATTTTCGAGAATGCCGGATATAGCGCGACCCAGGCGTTGTACGCCTCCCTGGGCTACGGCGCGATCCAGGTCGTCTTCACTATTCCGACCGTGTTCTTGATTGATACCAAAGGACGCCGGACTCTGACCCTCATTGTGAGTGGAGCTTTGTTCCTTCCTCTCAGAGTCGAAGTGATGATGCGAATTATGAAAGACCCCCGACTAACGCCCATCCAGACATTCCCCCTCATGTGCATCTTTCTCCTAGCAGCCGGTCTCTCTCTGTTGAAAGACACCGGTAGCAAGGGTGCGCAGATTGGCCCTGTCGCATTGTACGTTCAGCCCTCCCTAAACAACATCCAACATGACTGACCACAGCGAAGATTCGTCTACCTCTTCACCATATGCTACTCCCTTGGGGAAGGGCCGGTGGCGTTCCAGTACTCGGCCGAGGTGTTCCCGACCATCCAGCGTGAGCAAGGCATGGCCTGGGCTGTGTGCATCAACAACACCTTCGGTAAGCCCTTCTATTCTTCGTATAACCAGAATCAATCAGCTCTTGCAGCTAACAGCCACCCAGCTGGTATCCTCAGTTTGACCTTCCCTCGGATGAAGACCGTCATGACTCCCACCGGTGCCTGTAAGTGAAAGTGAAACAACGAATCCTTTCATTCAGCGCAAGGACATATCCTAACTCTCATACCTTGCTAGTCGGATTCTACGCGGGTCTGAACTTGATCGCCTGGTTCATGATCTTCTGCTTCGTGCGCGAGACCAAGCAGCTCACCCTGGAGGAGATCGATCGTGAGTTTCTAGCGGTCATTCACATGCACTTGCAAAGTAACGGTTGCTAATACCTCTGTGACAGAGGTCTTCTCCGTCCCAACGAAGAAATTCATCAACTACGAGTTGACGGTGTGGCTGCCGTGGTTCATCAAGCGATACATCTTCCGGCAGAAGATCGAACGCCCGCCCCCGCTGATCGCGACGGCAGGACATTCCGACGACGTTGTCCAGGTCTTGTAGTCTGTTCGTAATGCGTAAAGTCTGCGCGCAAAAGATTAAGGGGTGAGGAAACGTCGGAGCGGGCTGCTCCCTGGTGAAGGAATGTCGCTGGATGCAGTTCTAGAGCTCTACTGTAATAGTTGCGGGAACTTGGCCACCAGGAGAAATATTCACATAGAGGCCTATCAAGTCTCCAAATTCTCTATCTCCGAGCTTTTCTTTTAAGTGATAAACTGTCACCAGCATTGATAACACCCGATACGTTGATATCCCCGCGTAGTCAGCCAAATCTCCCAATCGCTCACGCTCACCCCGTAACAGCATACACACAACACCCTTCACCCTGGCCCATCTCAGCGTACAGAAACAGCCCCTCACTCACTCCCCAAACCCACCCTCCACCCCGTCCACCCCTTCCACCGGCCCTATCTGCGCCACGATAGACAGGAACTCCGCAGACGAGATCCCAATCTGCTCCAAAAACTCCACATTCGCCAGCTGCGGATCCTCCACCGCCGTAAACGACGGACCACCCAACTCCTCCTCCCCGACCACTCCATCGCCGTACCCCACCAGCCCGCCGCCAGCGGCGACAGAGTGCCCAGCCTCACCCCCTTGCATAACCCCCGCCGGTACCTGCAGACTCGCCGGTGTATGCGTATACCACGAGGAAGAGGAAGGGCGGCCGGGGCGGTCGGGGCGACGACCCCGGCCCGACATCGACACCGCCACCGACACCGCCACCTCGTCCAGCAGCCGCTCGAGGTGCATCAGCCCTTCCTTCCGGGCGAGCGCGATGCGGTTGCCGTGGTAAATCATTGCGTCGAGGATGGAGTGCGCTTGGTGGCTGGGATTGGGACTGGGACTGGGACTAGGACTATCTGGTGTGGGGGCAGTGTCGAGGAGTTCCGGGAACAGGGTGCGGGCCAGGGCGAGGTGAATGGCGGCGTCGTAGGTGAATTCGAGGTCGTAGAGGAGGAATACTTCTTGATGTTGTGAGGTTGTTTAGTTAGGTTGTGGCCGTTTCTTTTTCCTTTTCTTTTTCTTTTTCTTTTTCTTCTGTTTGGGAAGGGGAACCGGGGAAAGGAAAAGGTACACCCACCGAGAAGACTGTCGGTGCCGGATAGAATCTCGATGGTTTTGACGGCGGATTTGATTCCGATGCATAGGAGGGGCTTGGTGAGGGCGAGGAAGTCGTTGGTGTCGAGGCCGTCGTGGGTGAGGGTTTCGAGGCGGTCGATCAGGGCGGAGAGGAGGAGGGGCCGGGTGGCTACGATTACGCACTGGGTTGGTGATTTGTATGAGTGAGTTGAATTTGCTTCCAAGGGGTGGGGTTGAGGGGGTCAGGTGTTGGGAGCGATGGGGTTGGCGAACCTGATGATATAATAGGGTGATGTGCTGCGTGCCTCGGGGCATCGTGTCCAGCGAGTTGCGCAGCCGGATCTGGATGATCTCCTCCATTTCCTGGGCGTATCCCGCCAGGGTCTGGAGGATCGATTTCGTGGTGTCCAGAAAGACGTGCAACTGTGTTCTTTCCGCATTGTATACCGCTTCGAACCCGGTTAGGGCACCGTTCGCCGGGTGGCAGGGGAACGAACTCACTGCTCAGAATATACGACAGCAGTCGGGACAGCTTCGCGTGGAGACTAAGAGCAAGATCCTGCTGGGAGCAGTGCTCTGGAGGATCGATTGGCGTGCTGATATCCCGATCCTGGGTGGTCATCGGCAGTCCGACCGAGTAGGAGAAGTGCCGGTCCATGATGTACAACGTCCACCAGAGACTACGACATCGGGCCACAGTCTTGGACCCCAGCTGCTCCTCGGAGAGCTGGGTGTGCATGCCTTCGTATTGTGCGATTCGGATCGCTTGCCCGAGCTGCAGCAGTCGACTTACTCAGTACAAATCCTACCCGTGCGCATCCAACGAACGTCTGGGCCACCGGTACACTTACGTATATATGGGCGGATTCCCTTTGGTCGATCGAATATAAGTACAGGCTAGCCAGGGCCAGTACCTCGATCGCCAACAAGCTATCCTTCCACAGAGACGCATGGTCAGGCATCAACGACATGGCGCGAGCGAAGAACCGTGAGCCCGGGGGCTGATCCGGGCTTTTCGACCGACACAGCAGAGCTGTTCCAAACGATAAGACCAGGAGGAGCTGGATGAACCAAAGGCGGTATTCTGTGGCTACTGCGACGGGGTTACCGTGGTAGAAAGCCCGCAGACGCTCGACGAATTGCTCTTCGTTGAAGAAGCGCAACTGCCCTAAATGGAACTTCACCGTGTTGAATAGGTACAGCGAGTAATCGAGAGACGGCAGGTCGGCTATGTCCGGAGGTCTGCTGGCTGGACGGACCTCCCAGCGGAGGGGATAGATTTCTTTGGCTCGCAAGGTCGGGGCGTTGTGGGGATATTGATGATGCAGCTTCTCTGTCATCAGGATGGTGAGGCGGGTGGTGAATGACCACATGGACGACGGTGCCAGCCAGACTAGGACCATAGTTAGATGGGACACCCGAACATGCAGATAGGCACATACTCCACGTTCGCTTGTTATCCTTTGTGTTCTTGATGGTCGTCGACGGGAGAGCGAAAGGACTTGTCCAGGTGCTTCGCTGTTGGCTCGCCGGCGACGTTTCTCGCGAGGGTGCGGAACCGGAGGTTGACAATGCAGCTTCAGTCGGACAGCTGTCTCTAGCCACCGGAGGTGTATCCGAAGGAGACATGATCGGATTCTTCATGGTGGCCAGCGCCTTCTGGCTACGAACCTGCGCCTCCAAGCGTCGCAGATATCTGGTGCAGGGCTTCTGTTACCATCTGGGAGCACGAACGACCTCTGGCCACAATGGACGAACCTCTCCGAGACCACGACCCGGTTGACGCCCTCCGCAAACTCACATCGCACCGAGCGCCTCTGGCAATTGATGCAGGGCTCTTCACCTGAGCATTTTATCTTGCTCTGACGACATGCGACGCATCTAGCCGGCAAATTAGAACACGATCAACGACTTGGGGGATAGACTGACGCGTTTGCAGTTCTTCGGGCTTTACGGGCTGACGCTTGCATATTCTCACTTCCACAAAGGTGTAGAGGTATTACAGATATGAAGAGTCAAAGAACACGTTGACTTCTTGGACTCAATTCCTGCCAGCGGAGGTGGAAGAGAGCAGGCTGGTCGGCAATTCTGGTTTGTTCATCGGGAGCGATAAGAAGTTGCATGCGAGCAGATCACTACCTTACACTTCTTTACCCCGCATTTTAGGTCGCCCAGGATTCCAAAGTCAGTTAGTGCATATCTCTCACCGAGAACGAGTTTGACAGATACGGTACGAGAGTCAATCAATTCTGCTAGTGTTGCTAGGAGCGGCACTGCTACTGGTTCTGCCTTATCGCCTCTCGGGAGACTCATCCGAGACTAGGTACTTAGATACTTCTGCACAACCATGCATCGGATTAGTGAGAGACTCTTTCATTGGTTCCTGGGTCCTGAGTATCTCATTCCAGCTATCTCAGTGGATCGAAGCATATCACTGATCTGTGAGTGACTCTCCATTTGCTAAGAGACCGCAAGCCCCCTCATATCCGACTGTCCACATCACCCGTAATCTGTCCTTTCCTCCAGCCAACCAGTTGCAGTAATTCCGCGAAGAACCCGGCTGGAGGCGACGTCAGGCTGGCCTCGTACGCATCAACAAGCGGGATTTCCCAGACCAGATCGACATCTTTGGGATCGACCATCCGGGTACGTTTGATAAGCTTCCAATAGAAAAACAGCACAACAGCCACAATGACCATTGTGTAATGAGTGAAGAAGTCTGAAAGGTTCCAGGGAGTGAAACTGGCGTAGCCGTAGAAAACCACAATCAGACACTCCCCGACGAGCCCGATCCAAGCGGTGTAGGGTTGGAAGCGGCCAAAATAAGGGAAGGTCTTGCGGTCCACCCCCTGGGCCTTGCAGGCACGGTAGAAGCAAAGGTAGGTCACGCAGATGACGATGTAGTTGATGATCCCCCCGGCTGTAATCAGATTGGTCAGCCAGGTCAGGGCCTGCGCGGATCCATCGCCCAGTTGGAGGAGGGAAAGCAGGGGGAAACAGATGACGACCAGCACGCAGTACAGTGGCACGCCGTTCTTGGTGCACTTGGCCAGAATGGCGGGAGCTCGCCCGTCCAGAGCCAGCCCGTACAGACTGCGACTTGCGCAGTACATGTACGTATTGCCGGCCGAGAAGATCGTCGTCAGCAGCAGGGCGTTGATCAGATGTGGCAGGACCGGAATCTGCATGTTGTGCATCGCCACGATGAATGGAGACGATCCTCCAGCGCCGCTATCGGTGTTGTCGAGAAAGATGGCTACTAGAGTTGGGTCGTTATAAGCGACGAGGATCCCCACGCACAAGGCGGCCATGAGATAAAAGAAGATGAACCGCCAGTAGACCACCCGGTAAGCGTGCTTGATGTACACTCGCGGGCGTTTCGCCTCGGCGGCCAGAAGATTGACATACTCCGGACCCGCAATCGTGAAACTTGCGACCCAGATGGCAGAAAGCACACCTTCAAAGCGACCGAGTGATCCGGTGTGTAGGTACTCGGCCATGGGCCCCGGGTTCTTCCAGTGACGAAAGCCATAAGGATCATGCTGAGGGTTGCCACCGACCATGGTGACGAAGGTGAAAAAGAATAAGAGGGTGATCAGCACGGCCTTGCCACTTGATCCCCAAAATTCGGCTTCCCCGTATATTTTGACTGCAAAGATGCTAAGCAGACTTTGGGGAATTGTTAGTCCATGGTTTTCTTTTCATGGCATGGTCATCAAGTTGCATCGAGAGACTCACGAATAAGCGACAATACATGCACAGCACACTGCTGCCGTGGGAATGGCATCGGTCCAGAACTTCAACAACATGTTGAGAGCAGTGATTTCGAACGGAATCGAGATCGCCTCGTAGAGAAAGAAGTTCCATCCGGCCATGAAGCCAAAGGCATCGTCCACCCATTTGCCCGACATGCGGATGAACCCGCCGGGAATGGGAGCCAGCGTAGTCATCTCAGCCAGACCGTTGGTAGCACAGGCCAAAATCATAGAGTAAATGCCGTAGCCAAGCAGTAGGCTGAGCGGTCCGCTCTTGGCCAGTCCTCCGCCGATACTGATGAATAAAGCAGTTCCGATTGAGCCCCCCACTGCCATGATCTGAATTTGACGGTTGTCGAGGCGGCGTTGAAGCTGATTTGGGGGGTTTGGATCGACGAGCTCGGCTTTCATGACATCCTGACTATCGGGACCGGAATCAGGCGTGGTGCCCTGGATGTCATCAGAGCTAGCTTTATCTTTAGTCATCGTGGTGGCAAGGAAATTAGAGAGGAAATGATATGAAAGGGGTTGCGATAGAGTATTGACGGTACAAGGCCCGTGTGGGGTGTGGGGTACCATCTATTTAAGGACAAGATGGGAGAAAGAGACAAGGTAGAGAATTTTGACCGCGACAAGGGGTGCTTCGGTATTGATCCTTGCTTCTGACTTTGGGTCATGGTGATTGGAACAGTATCTCTGATCCATGATCTCAAACCGTGAGGTGGCGCCCTTGCGAGTGGAGAGTAAAGTGTGCTCGAAGAATGGGGGGAGTACCGGGTATGCGTACACAAATGATCGTCCCGGGCTGTTTATACGAACGGACCTTCATCAGTACCTCTCACGTAATAGCTTTTCAACTCTCGCGATCAGAACCCGACCAGGCCTTCCGAGAGACTCTGCAGTGGGAGGTACAGGGGGCAAAAGCCATCGGGATGAGGAAATGGACACCGGATTCGTATGATTCGACGAGGGCTTCTCGGGAGCTTCATCCGATCCTCGGACTCTAGGAGTTTGCCCTCATTCAAGACATAAGCTCCTGTATACGCGGAGAGTTCAATCAGAATATCGTCTCTATATAATCTTCGAATGTACTCAATCGTTTGGACCTCATCAAGAAATCAACTTCTGAAACATCAAGCATTCTTTTTTCGAACACGCTACACTCCAGCATGTCTCTGACCGCAGTGATGACCCCGATGGCGCCGCCTATAGTGGTTGGGCCTACTACAAGAAGAGCCACCAGACCCACCAACAAGCTACCGCAGTCACTCATCGATGGAGCCCAGCTGGCTGATAAGCAGAGCTTTGATCCCAAAACGCACTTGAACTATCAGCCTCCCAGCAGAATCTACACCATGAGAGAGATTGGCCTCGAAGGCCAGGGGATCTCTCCCAATGCGGTCACGGCGCCTTTCCAGCTCTTTACCGAAGAGGCTATCAGGCAGATGCGGGCCGAGATCTTCAGCCAATCGGTCCTAGATGACTGCCAGTACACGTCAGACTTCGTGAAGAACACTATCCGGGGCATGGGACCTGCGTAAGTGATTGATGGACTTCTGATAGTAATCACGTCCTAATGAGATCAACAGCCGAGCCCCCTTTATCTGTGATGCCTGGAAATCCCCCGAGGTTCTGTCTCGAATCTCCGAGGTGGCTGGAATTGACCTCGTTCCTGCCATGGACTATGAGATTGCCGCTATCAACATCTCGATCAACAATCAGACAGTGGCGTCTACATCCCCTGCCACCGACGACGCTCTCCCCGCCTTTGCCTGGCACCGTGATAGCTACCCCTTCGTCTGCGTGACGATGCTCTCTGACTGCACGGGGATGACGGGTGGCGAAACTGCACTGAAGACTGCATCCGGAGATATCATGAAGGTTCGGGGTCCGGCCATGGTAAGCTCCCCCTTTTGCAGCTCTGATGCGTATTTGCTGTGGACTGACACTGCTGTACCAGGGCACGGCCGTGGTCATGCAAGGACGATACATCGAACACCAAGCATTAAAGGCGGTTGGAGGACGTGAGCGCATCACGATGATCACCTCGTTCCGAGCCAAGTCGCCGCATGTGCGCGATGAGACCGTGCTGACAGGCGTGCGGCCTATCAGCAACCTCTCCGAGCTCTACACTCAATACACGCGATACAGGCTTGAAGTACTTGAAGAACGAGTTCGGGCGCTCTTAAAGCAGGAACGGGATCGCGAAATCGCTCAGCGTCCGTTTAATGCTGCTGATGTGAAGTCCTTTTTGACTGAGCAGAAGCAGTTTTTGGAGTCGATGATCGAGGAGATCATCGAGTAGCTTCGTCCTTTTCGATATAGCTAGCTGTTTTGTTGATCACTATCCGTAGTTCTGTTCTCAGTCGTACTGCAATAGTCTGAAATTTAAACAGTTCTTTACATACATCTCTCCTTTGTACATGTAGCGTTGATTTGGTAACTATAGGAAAGATAGAGAAGTGATAAGTGGTGTCACGGAGAGGCATGGGTGACGCGCGTCATGCAGGACAAGGTCGAGCAACCACATCCCCTCTTGTCATGCACTTTTCTCCTGCCCCTTCGGAATATCTCCCCAAGAACAAGTAAAGTACTGTGTGCTGACTGTAAGTCAACTTGTTGTTACAAGGAATAGACATATCGCCATGTTTTGGAAGAGCCTGCGGGGAAGTGGCCTAACCCGAACAGGCAATTTGACTGAGAGCCAGCCCTGACGGGGATCGGGAAACGCTCCCGATTCCCGATTTCTCTCTGGCGAAAATAAAGCCATACTGAACTTCATTCACTTCCTATGGAAAAGTAGAAAGTGGAGCAACGATCACTGATACTCATTTAGTGAAGGGGCAGGAATCCCCCTCCCACCTCCAACGTGGTTCGTACGTTACAAGAAGTACTACCGCACAGCTTCGAAGTTTGCGTCACTTCTCATACTTAGATGCGACCATAGGGAAATGAACATCAAAAAGGGTCATAAGCCTAGACAACATCAAACTCGACAGTCCCCCAGCCGTCAAAAGTGCACGTCCAGCGCCCGGTCTCTCTCATGGGCATCGCCTGCAAGCAGCTCCCGGGCAAAATCACCTGTCCCGCTTCCAGCCCGACCTCGTACGCCGCCAGCCGATTCACCAACCACGCCACCGCGGAGATCGGATTCCCCAGGATATTCTTGGTGTTGCCCGTCATGACCTCGCGGCCGTTGAAGAGGAGAGTACCCCGGGTATCCCGCAGATTGAGGTCCGTCAGGCGTCGCGGGGTGCCTCCTAGGATAATCGCCCCCGTCGATCCATTGTCCGCCAGCGTGTCCGGTAGCCCAATCGCCCAGTCCTTGACGCGGGAATCGATGATCTCGATGGCAGGGAGGGCGTAGTCGATGGCATTGATCACATCCGCGACGGTGATGTTGGGGCCCTTCAGCGGCGCCTTGAGAACGAATGCAGGCTCCAGCTCGACGTACGGGGCGATGTAGTCTTTGAGCGGGATTGGAGTGCCCTCGTAGACGAAGGTGCTGGCCAGCAAGAAGCCATAGTCGGGCTGGTCCAGACCGAACGCGTCTTGCATGACCTTGGCAATGTTGCCCAGTTTCAGTCCGACGAGGCGGTCGCCTTGCTTGATCGCCTCGTCGACGGTGATGCGCTGAACTTCAAACGCGCTGTCGGCGTCGAGCGAGGGCCATGTTTGGGTGGGTGGGGATATGGGCTTTTTCTCAGTGCGGGCGGCGCGTAAGGCGAGCGCGACTTCGCGCAATTCGTTGGTCTGCATGGTTGAGTCTGAAGAGGGTATGAGTAGATGGGTTAATCAGTCTTGTGAGCGCAATCTGATGGGTGTTGAACAGTGGTAGGAAGACTTTAAATGTGAATTGTCCATCTACCTCACAGTGGACACCGTGAGAACCCGAAGAAGCCTGCTCATCGAATGCACGTCGGCAGGCATCGGGAGGGGCTTCCTTGTAGCTCTCCTATAAATTACTTCTTAAGGAAGAGTCAGGGTCCGATCGCTCGGTGAGATGCTGATGCTCGGGAGCGTCATCCGATGCAACCGAGGGTTCTGTGAATGGAGTACATGTTGTATACAGGCCCGGGATTGTATGAAGGAGCACCATATAAAGCCGTCCAATCTCATCGGCTGTACCTCATAGTTAAGTGAGACTGTCTTGACAAAGGTATCCTTCATACGCTAACTACACCTGATCAAGATGCAGGCAGCAAATCGCCTGCAGAAATCCCTCAAAGCCGGCCGCCCTTCGCTTGGGGGCTGGCAGATGCTCCCTGGCACCAACCTCACACGAGTCATGTGCCGGTCATCCTCGAATCTCGAATGGCTCCTCGTCGACCTTGAACATGGAAATATCTCCGATGACACAATGCACGAGATTGTGGCCGCCGCCGCCGCATGTGGCGTGTCGCCGATTGTGCGCGTGGTCGAGGGCCGACCCTGGGCGATCAAACGCGCCCTTGACTCGGGCGCCCACGGACTTTTGGTCCCCATGCTAGAAACCGCCGAAGATGCCCGGAGGATCGTGCAGCACTCGAAGTTCCCTCCGGAGGGCAACCGGGGCTTTGAAAGTCTCCTTGCGGTGGAGAAGTTCGTCGAACAGCACCCGCACGGCGGTCCCGTCCGCGAACTGACCGGCCTCGAATACCTGCAGCAAGCCAACGACGCGCTGGTCATTGCGGTTCAGATCGAGACCAAAGCTGCGTTGGAAAATGTGAAGGCCATTGCGGCTGTGCCGGGAGTCGATGTCTTGTTCATCGGGCCTTTTGATCTCGGGGTCAACATTGGTCATCCTATGCGCGGACAGGGGGTGATGGATCCGGAGCTTTTGGAAGCTATCCAGACCATTCATGAAGCCGCGCAGGCTGCTGGAAAGGTTACTGGGATCTATTGCGACTCCGGGGAGGAGGCGAGGAGATATGCCGATCAAGGGTTTCTCATGCCGAGTGCGATGACGGATATGGTGGGGCTGCGTAAGGTGTTTAGACAGGCGTTTGAGGGTGGACAATAATGTACAGTATTTAGGTAGAGTACTCTCCAAATCTTCCAATATAACCCTATACAACAGCACATCGCCATGTCCGACTGTGTGCCTTCCTGATGGTACAGTACACGAGACCTTGAAGTTCTTCTCTTCTCAGTCTTGCCAATCTTTAATCAGACGAACTCCGACATCTTGGTGCAATGCATACATACTTTTTTGCAGGACATGTGTTAGTAATAGACCCGTGCAAGCATTGAAGCCAGCTGAGTCATTACGAGCAACTCTCCTGTCAGAATCTGCGTGAACAGGGAAAGGGAAAGTTTGATAGCAGGGTTGAACATCTACATCCTTGAATTGGTCATGGACTGAGGAATGCGGTGAACCTGCCTTTTCTCTCCCCGCCTCTTTCCGACCGTCTTTCCTCCACCTCCACCTCCTCCTTCTCCTTCTCATCTCCCTGCGACACGACCATCACTTATCATCGCACTTTGAGCTCAATCTTCAAGAGTTC